CGTAGAAATGGTTAACAGAGGATAGAATTCTCTACTACGTACACAAGATCGCGTAAAATCGCTCGACTAACGTAATACGTGGTAAATTTAATCCAATTAAGCAATGACATCAAGTTATTGCTCGATGGAAATGCGCCCTAGCCGCACCGATGACGTAAATGGCGATGTGGTTCAAGTTTGACGAAGTCTCCGCCTATACATTCATTTACCTCTATTCTATCGCAAACATTTATACTTTATACCCATCGTTAAACAGAAAAGAAACTAAACTAAACGATTTTACGCGTTTCTCGCATAAATTTCCAATGACTTTTTAAAAGCGTGGGCAAGAAGTAGCCAAAGCCACGCTTAATTGAAAAGTACTTTCTGGAGAATTCATCGAAGTTCGTTGATTTGGCCAAACAAATTTTAACGAGACGTGACTCGATATCTTCCTGCGTCATTCTTGAATTAGCCATTCGCCAATTCCGTGCCGATGGTAATTAAGCAATCCCGAGTTATTGAGGATCAACTTAATGAAACAATGTGGCTCAACGATGACGAAGAACTCCAAACCAATGATTTTATTACATCTGACGCAAAATGCACAGCTGCATGGATTTACCGGGCTAATGAAAAGTACACAAGTTGTAAATTCTCATAGGAATCTTGTTGATTTATAACGGTATATTTGTATCGACATGTTTTCATAAAATATACAGATAAAAGATAAGATAAATGTATAGATAAATTTTTTTCCTATTGCTTGCACTTTACTTTCACGGCACGAAGGCTTCTCTTAATCGTCAATAATTAATGACAGTCATTTATAATTAAATTCATAGACTGCGAATTTTTTGTATAAATTAAAGAAATCGATACAACACACACTCGCTGGACAATTTTTGCTTTTATGAAACTCTTTCACTCAAAGAATAATCGATAGGCCATTCCATCTCAATAGAATCTAAAAAAAAAGAAAGGTACTTCCATGCAGCACAGAGTGAGAGAGAATTTTGATTGTTTTCAAAATATCGATTCATTGACAGAGTTTAGTTAGCATCGCGAGCGTTTCGTCGGTCGATCGATAAGTTGAATTTCAGAAGAGGGACTTAGTAAATCGAACGTCAAAAGCATCTGTATCACTTCGATACGTGGCCAACGCCTGCGAGGACTGATAAAACTGTATCAATCTAGCCAGAGTTATACCAACACGATCGTATTTTCTACAAAGTGTGAGTAACAAATACACGTATATAGGGAGGTTTATCTATGACCTATTTATGCACTTTCAAATGCGGAATATTTCTATAAAATTGATTGATCTGATCACGTACATATAGATGTATTCTTCTTCGATAAATGTTATTAATATATAATCTGCGAAATATATAAAAGTAGTTGGAACTATTTCAACAAATTTAATACGCTGACTAGAATGTATTTTGTAAATATTGTACAGTAACAACGAGCAGAAATATTAATTTTTCCTACGTTGTTTCTTTTATTCTACGATATCGATTTTCACTTCGTATTCCAATAATTCTAATATTCATCGTCGGAAGTGGAAAGCTAAAAAAAAATACGAGGTTCCTCTTCTTGACGTAAATAATGTTGAAACAATTCAGAGATAAGGCGTATCATTGCTACGAAAGAAGACAAGCGATTTTCAAGAAATCGTTCTGCTTTTCCCGTGATGGAATCGAGCTTACGCAATCGGGACTCTGTTTACAGAGTTCATCGTTCCGTCTTTTTTAGATCCGTCAAAACAACATTGAGACATTTGTCTTGGTATGGATTTTAAATTAGATAAGATCCGCCATTATCGCGGACTTTTCTTGCGATTACCGTTCGAATCCCTCGTTACACGTCCTACTATATTGATCACGAGATGAGGACATGATCAATAACAGAAACAAGGACAAAAGAATGGGGGGGAGGGGGAAATAAAACTCGAATAAACTTTTAATTATTGAGAAAACGCTGAGGACTTCAAAAATAGGAAATTGTGGAAGGATTGGAGCGTAAATCTCGAATTACATTTCTAATTGCAGAAGTGGAAAATTGCAATTGTACGAAACATTGAAAATTTGTAAAATCTGATTGCTGAGAGTGATGAAATTGTAGGGAAACTGAAAAATTAGTTCTTTAAAAGAAAAAGATTGAAAAATTGAAATATAATTTTTAATTGTAGAAAATATAAACTAGAGAAGTAAAGAGTTACAGAGAACTTCCGATTAAAGTGAACGGCCTGTTCGATTGTTGAAATTAATGAATCATAAATTACAAAAATACAGCGGTTGCAAAAATTTCAGGGATTTCACAGGAATTGGCAAATCCCTAATTACAGGAAACGAATCGAATGTTTCAGGTCTAAGTGCCTGTGAGAGGAAGTCGTTCATATTTTTGAGGAAGGAGCTACCAGTCCGATTGGCCAACATTATGAAAGAGATCCACCTGCTGCCGGAGAATTTGTTGAAGATGCCTAGTGTGGGTATAGTTAATAATTTGTACGCCACTTCGTTTGAGGATATCATGCAGTTCGAGAAGGTTGAAGTCAGCGAGACCACTTTAGACAAGTGAGTCTTCAACGCTAGAACAATCCCTTGAACGGATTCACGTTCCGATTTGTTCTTGAAAATGCCTCGTGCAAACGATCGACGTTTCATTATTCGCGCAATTTCGATTGAACAAACTCTCGAAATTCTCTTTTCTCCTTTCCAACAGACGTATAACATACACAGACAAAGTACGTTTCTTTTCTATAGATTCTGTCAGACTTTGGTTAAAATCCGCAACAGGCACAAAGACATCGTGGAAACGATGGCGCAGGGTGTTCTGGAGTTGAAGGAATCTCACGACGTCGATGCCCAGACGGAGAACAATATCCAGTACTTTTTGGACAGATTTCTCATGTCTCGAATCTCTATTCGCATGCTGATCAATCAACACAGTAAGATTATCGTTGTATTCATTATAGCATCGAAGATCATAGGAAAGAAACATGACAAGTATCTACATTTTTATCGAGCTCTTTATTTAAAACATTCTTTCTTTATAACACTTATATTATTATTGTTGTTGTTCTTTGTTTATAATATTTATAATATTTTATTAATATTATATATATAATGTAATATTAATATTTATAATATTTTATCAATATTATATATATAATATAATATTAATATTTATAATATTATATTATATATATATCATAGTTTATTATATATCATATATTATTATTATATATCATACATTATTATATATACTATGTGTATATAGTAAACTGTGATATATAATAATTTATGATATATAATAATACTATATGATATATAATAAACTATGATATATATATATAAATATTATAAATA